TATACGTGTTTTTTGTTCTTCTGTTCGCCTGAAAGAGTTTACCCAGCAGCGTCGTAACTTAAGTCATCATGCCATATTTTGTGTTCTGAAAATGAAATTCAATAATATAATGTTTTAATACGTGGAGGTGTTAAATTAGTTTTTTATCAAATCTACAGAGCATTCCAAATGCATCTATGAACCAATCGGGAGAAGTTGTCTGCAAGGCCAAGAACAGCGAGGGCAGTGACTTCTGTTCTGCTGAACTTATTGTTCACGAGGGTTCAGGAGAGAAAGGAAAAAGGTAAAGATTGATTGATATATGACGATATGATTACAACATGTCTTATATTATATCGATGTTGTTATACGTGTTAAAATATATATGTATATATATGTGTTGTATATATGTTTTATATTATTACTTGTTAAATTTCTTGGAATGATCATGGGAAACTTCTGTAGTTGATGGTCGTTGATGTATGGCTTCCTTGCATTGCAGCGCCGTTCCACAGTTCGCACGGAAGCTGAAGGACAGTGAGGTGATGGAGGGAGCTGAGGGCATGCTGGATGTGCGTGTTCACCCAGACTTCAACCTGGATGAACTGAAAATACAATGGTAGGGCTTCATCCCCCATGCACATTTATAAACACGCACGTACGTACGTACGCACGCACGCACGTACGTACGTACGTACGCACGCACGCACGTACGCACGTAAATACACACGCGCATTCTTGTATTTACTGTGTCTATACGTGTGTATATCTGTGTATATAATGTGTGTTTTCTTCTTATCATTTCCAATCTGTGATTGTTTATATGGCTGTTTCATAACAAAATCACTATTAAAAAGGTGCTTTCTGAAAAAAGGGAAACGTACATAAAAGCGATAGTTTTTAGAGAGTTTCAGATAGAGTCACCAGTCGGTGTTGCGTGTGGAATTTGCGTGCGGAGTTTGCGTTGCATTCGCCGTACTTCTTCCAGGTTCAAGAACGGAGCTGAAATCTATCCAGATGGCCACTTTGAGATGCTTCACGACGATACTGGCCAGTTCTCCCTCCTCATTCACAATGCGACACCTGCTGACAGGGGCCAGTACATGTGTGAAGTGAGCAACCCAGCTGGCAAGGCAGCGTGTGTAGCTGACATCGTAGTGGATGGTAAGTATATAGTGAAGAGAGAGAGAGTGCAGTGCATTACATTTGAGAAGTGTTTATTAATTTGTCGTGCTGAGTGGTGGTGGTGGTGGTCGTGGTAGTGGTGGTGGTGGTGGTGGTGGTGGTCGTGGTAGTAGTGTGGTCGTCGTGGTGGTGGTGGTGGTCGTCGTCGTGGTCGTGGTGGTGGTGGTCGTCGTCGTGGTCGTGGTAGTGGTGGTGTGTTACAGGTCTATGCAAACTGGGATTCACAAAAGTCAATACAAGGGGGGTCACAAAGTGAAACAAATTCGTGTATTTTTTTATATTGCATGGATGTAATTAGAAGAACAGTGATATTTTTGCTATGCGTGGAGTCAATGATTCTGTCATCAGGTTGATAAACACAATTGTGTTCGTAGCAACACATATGGTGTTTAAATAAGCGTTTTCTTCTGTTATGTCCGTGGATTGGAAGATTCTGGTTATAAATTTGTCAGACATGCTAAATGCGTTTACCGTGCGGTGTCTGTAGTTTTTCAAGAGGCTTTCAGGCATGTCTTTATCTTTAGAACTAGTTTTTTCTATACGACCATATTGTATTAGGTTTTGAGCTGTAGCCACACCAAACCAACGGATATCTCCAAGTGTTTAATCATTTCGGAAATTCATTGTTGTCATTTCATCTCAATTTTTTCACAGGAGTTCCGGTTCATATTCTTATTTTTTTTGAATTCGTGAAATATTCGTAGTTTGCGATCTCTCGTGAAAGAACTCGCCTATTAGAAGTGTTAATTTTTAGGATTCATGGTATTAGCGTAAAAATACATCCTAATTTCACACGTGAAAGGTTATAGTCAGTGGGTGCATGAATAGTTCACCTTGTCATTCGAGACATGGTGAACGAACCAAGTCAGACATTTTTTCAGCACTGGCTTATCGTTTTTTTTTTTTTTTTGTTTTTTCATGAAATGCACTATTTGCAGCATCGTTTTAACATTTTGGCCCTCAGTAACTAAAGTTTCGAAATGTGGATAAAACTGATTGTTTTCCTCGTAATAGAAATATGTTATTTGCATAATAGATCGGCGATCATTGTCTTGTACGAGTAAAATAATACCAGGAGTAGATAATAGGGATTCCCTATTATCTACTCCTGCATGATAATACGTTTTAGCTGTCCATCATTACAAGCATTTGTTTAAATTCTAAGCACAAGATTCATACTCAAATTATATAAAATTGTGACAAATGATTTCAAAGTTAAATTAAAAAATTAAACGCACATTTTAATTATTTCAAATGCATTATTTTCATTGCATGTACTTATACTTCTGACAGCCAACCATGTATAATGGAACCCATATTTGATGAAATAGGGGTATTTTTAGACTTACCAAACTTGCATCATGATTCTAACAATGGAATGCAATTGATTGCATAAAGTTTTTTTGTTTTTGTGTGTGATAACAATAACATGTGGATTCCTCGTGCTATTTTATAAACATTGGTTCTTTATGGTGTGTGGGATTTGTTATCATAGAGACATTTCTGTCTCTCTATTTGTACTCGTTCTTTGAACATGCAGTACACACGGCATAGATACATTCTATCAAGAGCTATAATAGTACATTATATTAGCGACATGTATTATTAGCTCTTGATTCTATGTATGTCTAATTTCTTTACACTGCTGTAACTGAACTGAGTTACAGATATATGGAGGTCCCTGTGTTTGCATTGTGCCTATTCTCACACAATTTCATCTAGAATGTTTATTTGGTGTATTGGTATTTTGGGATATTTATTTGATTTGCTATAGTAGGTTATACTTCAGAGTTGCTCAGAACTCTGAAATCAAATCGCTTTGCCTGAAAGGGTTTCTTTTATATCTAATATCATTTATTTCAACTTTCTCTTCGATTTCAAACGTATCCGTACTGTTGAAATCTTGCTTTTACATGTTTTGTTGCCTGCTTTGATCAACAGTCGTGGACCAACATGGCCGACTACTACGAGGTCACCGAGGTATCACGTTCAGTAGAGATTGAATTACAATTTTAAGCTGAACAAAACAGCGTGCATGTGCAAAACCCCGATGTAGGACGTATACGCTACGTCGTCCGTATGAGATAACAATAACATCAGTTCCTTTGCAACTTGTATGATCCTCTTACGAACCGCTCGTTGCACCGTTGCTCTAGCTTGGTAGCAGCTTGGTGCGGTATGCTGCGTCCCACATTGCATCGTCAGGGGACGTTTACTCGTATGCATTGCTTTTTCAATGTCCCCATAAACATTCGTGATTTATTTAATCATGAAGTGTTATTACTATCAACCACTAGTTTCTGAGACACATCCGCTTTTGTAGTACAAATATTCAGGATGTATCGTTACAATTAATATGTTCGTGGTGCACAAATTACTTTTTGTATATATGCGAAATCTAGTATTACATGTAATCGTTTACTGCTTCGTTATACTAGCATCAAATGTTTAGATACATTAGGTTAGATTTATTTGTCTAGTATTACGCTGTGTAAGCCTTGTCACTTGGGTATGCTGGTAGCACATCTATTATCGTTGTATAGACTCACCTAAAGTCCTTTGCCCCCCGCCTGAGTTCACTTGCTGTAAAATATGAACTATACTAACTGATATTCAGATTCTCTAATGACGTTGATGGTGATACTTCAGCAATTTTCTAATAGGTCTTGTTGCTATTAAGCAGCAGAGCAGTTCTAATGATAGATGTGATCGTTAGATGCTATAACAATGTTAAGTTTAAATAGAAATTTCTAATGATAAATATAACCTTCATCCTAAATGAAATATTTTTCATAAATTATCAGTCTGCTCGATAATAGATGCATTGTAATTTTCTATATATGTGAATGGTAGAAAGTAATAGAGACCCAGATAGTAATGATAGTCTATATATATCACCTGAAGTTCCCTGAACCCATGTTGCTTGTTACTAGACGAAATATAGTACACTAGATGTATATTGCATTGTACTCCATAATTTAATTAGTGACATGAAATGTTTGCATGTATCTAATAGATGCACTCTATATCATTGATTATATACGGCTCAGTTATTGTTTTAAAAGTGTTAACTTACAGCACATATATACATGCATATATAAGTATCTAATATTTTTCACTTAACTTTGCAATTTGGTCGGCTTCTTTGGCCACTGATTGATGGCATTCTTGGTGCTCATTTGCGATTTAATTTTACTGCTGTGGGTTTACTACAAATTTCTGTTTAGTGTGCTGTTTATTTAACATTGGCTGATAATTTACTATTTTTGTATAAAATTGCAGTAGTAATAATAATAATAATAACAATATAATAATAATAATAATAATAATAATAATAATAATAATAGTAATAGCAGTAATAATAATTGTAATTTTAAGCGCTTTATTTTATTTATTTGATGGCAAATTAATCTAATAATCATGCAGTCATTCTATCACGTGCAGGTTTTTATTTTCCCTTCATGTTTCTTCTGGTTGTAATACAGCACGAATGTGCATTACTACCGGTATAAATTTGGACATTATATGTACTTATATGTTTATTCGATCTCCTTTCCCCTTAGTGGTGGACGGTGAGGTCAAAATCAGGAGGGCAACTGGTGATGATGATGACTATGGGCGACACAGGAGGGTGAAATTCATCGAAGGTTAGTGCTGGATTAGATTCATTTACATACTCCAACGACATTCATCCTAAAAGTAGAAGGCAAATGTGTTTTTATGTATGGTTTGCGCGATAGTTTCATCATGGTTTAGCACGAGTAGGTAATTCTGTTAATCATATGCAGAGCCACCGGCGACACCGAACAAGCCGGAGGTCTCCAATATACGTGACACGTCTTGCTATCTGTCGTGGAGGGCTCTACCCTACAGAGCTGGGGAGAACCTCACATATACTGTTGAATACAGGGATGCTAATGGTAAGTATTTGGCCATAGAAATGAAAACCATGGCTTCTATAATAACGTGCATGCATATACTGTTTAAACTGTGTGTAGTTGTAAGTAAAGTGTGCATGTGAATACGTCTTAAGTTTACCAGATACGTACACAAAGGGGATGGTGGCGGCAGCCGTAGAATCCATATCATAATTAATGTGTGTGTATATATACATATATATATATATATATATATTACGGTTATATAGCTAGGATGGAGATGTCATTTCAGATGATTAGGGGGCTACTCTATGCAGCCGTAAGCGGAGCAGGTTGAATAAAACCTGTTAATAAATTATGACGTTTTTAGGTTTTTTTCAGTAACCCAAGGTTAATTGGTAGCATGTTAATAATTTTGATAATTAAATTTTAATTGCAATAATTTACTTTTTGGATACAGAAGCACATGGTATAATAAGGATGTGAAAATATAGAAGAACGTTCGTGTTGCTCTGGACGTTTCTTAGTGAATGATGTACACGTGCCAACGCGCTGCCTTGTTTATGAGAAATCCGTTAATCTAATTTCTAAAAGGCAAAAATTCCAGTGTGTAGTGAACTCCAACCATCTTTCTCACTCATCACTCACTCTTCTCGTTAGGCTACTTCCACATCGTAACATCTGCCGCAAGCATTCTACTCCCAAAGGTTTCCACATTATATTTCTCTGCGTCTCTCTTCCACCTCTCCTCCTGTTCGAAGTTCTCTTTCCGTCGCGTCGAAACCTGAATAGAGAAGATACTAGAGAGAGGTATTAACGTCCATGTCTGTACGCACACAGCTCGTAACTGGAGGCTACTGAAGCAGGCACTCACTGACCCGTGGCTCAATGTGGACATTCTCAAACCGGAGTTCGACTACATGTTCCGCATTCGCGCAGAGAACATGTTCGGAGTGAGCGATCCGTCTCCACACGCGTCCGTACGCAGGTCTCCATCTGGTGAGCAAAATCTGAACTATTTTCTTTTCTTTGCAAGACAGGACAGGTAGTAACTCTCTTGGGGAAAATTCAGAGAGTTACTACCTGTCCTGTTTTGCAAGAGCCTGTCACTACACACCCGTGGTAAGGTCTACAATAGTTGTGTCAGGAGTGCCATGTTGTATGCCAGTAAATGTTGGCCTTTGAGGAAGAATGACATGCTGCGTCTAGGGAGGAATTAGCGTGTGATGCTGAGATGGATGTGTGGTTTGAAGCCAGAGGACAGAGTCAGCTCCGGTATCCTGCGTGAGAGGCTTAAGATTGAAGATCTGGAATCCACCCTTAGACGTAGGCGTCTGCGATGGTACGGCCATGTACAGCGGAGCGGCTCATGGATAAACACAGTCACCAGCCTCCATGTAGATGGATGTCAAAGAAAAGGAAGACACTGATGGAAAGAGCTTGTTAAGGAGGATCTGAGAGTGTGGAACCTCACAGATGAGGACACCCTAGACATGGTTAAGTAGACCAATGTTCTAAGAACCACCACGCAACGTCCAACCTGCTAGCATGTGGAACATGGACGTTAAACGGATATGATGATGATGATGATTTCAGCAGGTTAAACTAGGGATGTGCATTAAGTATTTACCTGCGATGCGTTTCTGTCAGCGCCATTCTCGTAACATTAACATTAGTCGTAAGTGCTATGCTATCATAGCATTAACATTACAATGTTTCTGACAACTGCCCCCTGGACATTAGGTACATTTCACTCCCAGCTAGCAGCTATTAATATAACGCATCACCTCTTCGCAAAAAGTTGCTAGAAATTAGGGCATTCATGTTGAACACACTACTGGCTTCACTTCGCAGCATTTTCGTTCATATTTATTCCATATACACATGCGATAATGGTAACATGATGACATGATATATTAAACATGATCTACATATAATGATAACATGATATTAAACATGATCTACGCGCTACTCGACCGACTGAATGGTCACTCACCTGCACATACATTTGCTATCCAATAATATTGGGTCTATATTGAAACAAAAATTGCTTTGATTGGGATAATTGGCTAAATTAAATCGTTAACAATCACGCGTGCCAGCCAGGATGTATACAGGCTTGCATATTGCAACTTGCAGGCCGCAGTTCGGAACTGTGTATAAAAGTTCATGTTTAATGAAGCTGCCAATTTTTATAATATGCGGAACGTGATTTCAACAGAATAGCGGAACTCTAGATCTTTGGCAAGTTTGGGCACCGTTCAACAACAAACAAGGGGCTTAGTTCTTCCAATTCGGCTTCTTTTAGGCTCGTTAGAATCTTCTAGCGTTTGTGGTTTCGAGTAGCCAACGGAGGGCTACATTGATTTTTACACTCATGCAGTTTCCCTGTACTGAGTGGGGCATAGGCTGCTTTTTGAGCGTTTGCTGGGTAACTCTCTGTACATTACATTTTTTGTCTGTCCCGGATTTATTTCTAGGTCTGAAACATAATAAGTGTTTTTATGCGAACTCAATGTGTTTGGTTGTTTAATTCTTTATTGATTGATGAACGATACTGTCAAAACATTGGTTTTACGCTGTTGATGGGGTTGTGCTATGCGGGCGAGTTGGTATTCGGTTTAATGTAGAACTACCGTTGTATATACTGTGTGAAGTTCTAATTGCTTTATTTTATCGTGCGGTGTTTATCGTGTAAGGCGTGTGTCTGTGTGCGCGCGTGTGTCTGTCTGTGTGAAGTCCAGGATATAGCTCCTGCTTGCAAGAAATCAGGATGGAAGAATAATGAGTTGTTGTTTTTAAAGCTGAAATTCTGGTTTCGCTCTTGGGAAACTACGCGGAACCTGTCACGGAAGTTAATAACCCCCTCCCCCAGAGAGCAAACTCAGGATGATGTAGCGCTTCCGGGATAGTCACTTTCATGTTCCCCTGATTGGTGGAGGGGGGGGGGGTTAGAAAAGGAAGTTAGTTATAGAAAGTTATGCCGAAAAGAGGGAAGGAACGCACGTTATGCAATATATCAAGAGCTAATAATACCTAGACTATAATTAACATATAATACATAAAGTAGAATAATATTGCCGCAAAATAGCACTATCTCCCCGTTGTACACTCTATAATATTAGATCTTGAATATATCCGGATTCGTGGTTAGCGCTTGACGCTATCTGCTCGCGAAAAATTCTACCTTAGTCTTTGGTTATGTATGAAGAGCGCTGAATATGCGGCTGCACGCGTCTTCTCTCACGACCGCGTAAAACCGGAGCCCCCCCCCCCCCCGAGTCGTATTTGCTAGCAAAGTGAATTCCTTTGCGACTCGGATGACTACAGAGCTGAATAGAAGGATCCTGGCGGTCGCTTCTCTCGTAATGAGGACGTAAAACAATCTGACAGCAACGAGGTCGGCTGGGTGTGTAATTGTGACCAAGTGCTGAGATATGTCCCGGAGGGATTCAGTTCAATAATGTAAGAGGAAGAAGTGCTGACCTAGCAGTCGCTTTAGGAAATTCTTGGTACACTGCAGCGCTGAGATTTCTGTGTTTCTTCATGGGCTGACTGGAGACTGAATTGCCATTTCGCCCTCCATCACTTCTATTTATGTATAGTTTCATTTGTTTTAATTTTTTAATAATCAGCATTGTCTATTAACTTGTTTAACTAATATCTTACCTCCAAAATGTTATTCATAAATGTAAATAAAGTAAATTTAATTGAAATTGAATGGAATCGTGGCGCTAACCCAGTCTGCAGTGCGTGTTTCGCTGCTGATTCTCCCTACACACTGTCGGAAGTTCAGAGGCATCGAACAAAATTAGGCATCCGCCCTCGCACATCGTGTACGTAAACCATACATGCGGGATTCACCGCCTCGTTATTATGCAGTCGAGTAGTATCCAGTCTATGTATAGAAATCCTAGAAATAAATGAACCCCCTGCCAGCTCAATAACCTAACATAAACATATGCCCTAACCACCCGTGACCGGTGCGTAGGCTATAGACTGCCAGGTTCCCAGTTTAACGTATTTCACGCGTAAAAACCAATGTTCCAAATTACTGAACATTTGTTTTCGCGCGTTTAGAATAACACTGTCTAGTTTATGATACCATACCATACCCCATTATACACGGGGGTGGGGCATGTCAGACAGATAATAATAGATTCAAGAGCTAATAATACAGATATAATAAGGTATGTGATCCAGAACGTGACGTCATGATTCATAGCTCTTCCAAGCCACGCACGCACGCGTGCACCAGTAAGAGTTGTAAGTAACGGTAGTCGCAACTGAACGAAGGGCTATATTGGTAGAGCCAGGAGTGTCATAATATAGATCTATATTGTATCCATATGTATCCTATATATATGATATTATATATTATCTCTCTCTCTCTATATATATATATATATATATATATATATATATTATGACACTCCTGGTAGAGCTACATCGTTCATGGCTTCTGGGTGGGCAACCCCCCTAACAAGAGATGTGATCCGTGATTTGCTCATTCTCTAGCTGCGTGTTAAGCATCACTCGCTCTGGCTCTCCCCGATGTGGGCCAGTGTCCGGTCACCAGGGATGACCTGCTCCAGTCTTCTCTACGTCTCTCCACTAATATTGATCGTCGGAATTGTCTTACTCTGCGTCTGTGTTGGCGTTGCTTTTGACCTGGATCTGCTAATTGCAGCCGAACTGTTGGCAGAGTAACGTGTGATGGGGGCGGGTTCTGTGAGGGTAGCAGTTTGGCCTATATGACGTCATATTTGCCTCACAAAATACGCGCATTTTTGCCTCATATTTGCTTCACTGCAAAGTTGAGTCAGGTTGAAAAGCTTCCGCTGCAACTCGGTTTGAATACTATATTTCTATCTATTGGTTTCTTTCTATGGGTTTTTTTCTATTGGAAATATTATCATTACGGCTGAAAATACTGCACGTATCAGGATGACAATAAAAAAAATATCAAATGTAGAAAGTGGGTATACTGTAGTAAGACTGTTGATAAGAGAAATGTAGAAAACATGAGTATATCGTAGTGAAATATTATTGTATAAAGGTCAATTACAAAACGACTATAGTTAATTTAGTTTCCATTATATTTATTATATTACTGTCAATGCAGTTCGCATTGCCTAGTATATGTGCCAGATAATTTCATATTTATTTGTATATCTTTTTTGGTGTATGTCTAGACACTCCTTTATCCCTCATATATTTGTTTTCCATCTGGGATCCACTTAGCGTGCGTGCGTACGCGTGTGTGTATATACCGATGTTTTTTGTTTTGTTTATTCATTTGCTATTTGAATTGTTTTTATATTAATAAAGAAGACAGATGTGTCGATATATTTATTCATTTTCAGTCATAGATATTAATAACATATCTAAATCCCAGGTTCTAGGAACAGTAGCAGTTTCCTTTAATTTAGCCTGAAATGGTGTTTGTAATGTACAGCAACTCTTGCCGAGTTCGTAGAGGTTTCAGAAAACCTGTAAGTTAAAAAAAAACTGTCTGTGACTTTAAAACAGCTGTCATCGCGTACGTGATATTTTACGAGTTTTAGTCTTACGCGCTCACGGTTTCTGCTCCGATTGAATCTTCGAATTTCCCTGCATTACTATATAACATATGCTTGGCTCCATGTGGATTGATGGATCCATTGGATGAGCCAAGACTTGAGCGACCAACGTTTTTTTTTAGCCACTAGTGAAAAACTATAGCCACTGTTCACTTTATCGTATGTGCTAAGCAAGGCATAAACAGGTGATGGGTATGAGAAGAGAGGTGTACGAAGACATTTTATGACACGACACGCAATTTGACGATTTCATTAGTCAATCGTAATTTTCTGAGCAGTTAAATCGTTCGCCACTTAGTGTAGTAAAAACCACTACTGTTATTTATTCATCACATTTTACGAAGGTGGCAAACGCCCGCGGTAGCCCTGTATATTATGTGTTACTGACTGGCTTTAGCCGGTGGTAAACGTGAAAGAAGTCTATTGTATTCTGGAGTTCCAAGTTGGCGCGGCGCACGTGGCACGTTCGAATCGAGTTTCTTAGTTTTTCTAACCCTGATGGGGTATATGAACCTTATCTAATTTGAGTAGGGCCGACCGACGGCTGTGTATTGCGAGAAACCTGTAGGAGTTTCGTTGAACCCTGCGGCTATGTCGTAACCCGAAGTAAACAGCATTAATGCGCGGTGGTAACTGAAGCCATCCACTTCTGTTGATATTAGGGACGCGGGAAATGATATCCTGTTTGTGAACATGATAGATTTTCTGTTGAGCCGCGGGCACGTGCGCACGCGCGTGCGCATCTCTGGGATAAAAGTGAGGGGGAAGAGCCCCGAGCTGGCATTCGCAGATCTGTGCTTCATCAGTTCGCTGCTGCTGTGTTCATGCGTACAAAGACGTATTTGTGAATAGACGCGCGCGCCAGATGACCAGAGCAAGTTCGCGTAGCTGCATTTAGTAGGAGCGCTGCTGTTGCCGCAGGTGTTTCGCACATGTTCGGCTAGAGTTTACCGAGCTTTGTCGTCGTCGACAATTTGCTAGAGCGATTGTTGTTGTGTATTTACTCTGAAGTTCAGCAACGTGGAGGCAAGCATCTCTCTGTGTGCGAAGCCAGCCTGCACACGCCCAGCGTCCACTTATAACATTGGTGTGTAATTCTTCTCTGCCACGCTGGACTGCTAATAGCCGTAATTGGCTTTCCCGGTGACGTTGCTTCAGGAAATAAAAAGCATCTGTTTTCGTCGAGTTGCGCACATTCGCTCATCGGTCTCCCAGTCGCACAGCCAGCATTCTTCAGACAGCAAGTGAGCCAAGCCTTCACGCGCGTACGTGTGGATAGTAAAGAATCTTACTATTTAACATACTAGTACGGCATCAGTAAAGAATCATACTACTACGGCATCAGTAAAGAATAATACTATACTACAGCATCATCATCCGAGTCTGTGAGGTAACCATGGCAACGAGGCAGACCGTGCAGATCAGCGAGGGTTCCTGTTGGAAGCTGTCCGCTGGAGGAGGCGCAAGACTGCAAGTAGTGATGCTGGGAGGATGCTGTTCGAACCCGGATGCAAGGAAAAGGTCCGCTCTGAAACGAAGCGGCGACGCAGAGGTGAACAACGGCGAAAGCATATCTCACGAGGAGCAGGTAGAAGAGAGAGAGACCTCGCGAAAGCAGCTGCAACCCAATGGCGAAGCTCAGGTGTTGAAGGCCTTTACAGGTGACGACGAGGTCTTCATGAAGTCCAAGGATATCACTGCGAAAGAAGTCAACGATGAAGCGAGCTGGAAGGTGGTTGCATTAGACGAAGCCAATTCGACCATCTCTGCTGAGAAGGACCGCCGTGGACATCCATGAACAGAACTTTCGCTCTGCCGTGCTGTGCAACGAACATTAATGTACATAAGTGTGAACTTATAATTATATTGTAGCGGTTTCAAGTTCCGAGTGTGTTTTAATTATTATACGCATTTATTATAGTATAATTATAACTCATTTCTTGCAGACATGAAGATATTGAACATATATAAATTAATTTACGAGTAAGCTCCACGCGATTACATTTTAATAATGTAAACAAATTCTTCTTTTTTGTCGTGTGTGAATATTTTCGTATTCTGTACTGCGATTCCCCCGCAATATGAATACGCGTGTATTTACTCGGCCGTAATATATATATATATATATATATATATATATATATATATATATATATATATATATATATATATATATATATATATATATAGGTCTCGTGAAATGAAGTATATCGGTTAGAAATAGTTTTTGCTATGCTCGCTTGACCAGTCAGTTGGGTGTGCGTGTGTCTGCGTGGTGTGTGGTCGGTCTTAGTAGGCTTCTGTTGCCTCGCTACTGCGTGCCTTGCTATACTGCGTGCCGTCGAGGTCTGGAACTCGTTACCCGATACAGCGCTGTCTAGTCTATTCTGACGGACAGTCTCTGTCTCATTGTGACAGCTGTAAAATCTGGAGGGAGTACAGGCCACTATGTTTCTTATTTAGGGACATTCCTCGTCCTCTGTGGCATAGTTTCTAGCTTATCCATTGACGCTACACTCGCATCGGCTGGATGCAAACTACGTGAGAACAGGACCCAGCTAGGTGCATGCTGCTCGTTTCTTGTCATCTTATCTCGTTATATCTTCTCGGCCTTTAAGAAATGAAAGTGAATCTGAATCTGAAGCCAGGCTTGCCCGCGCGCGCGTGTGTATGTGCGTCTTGTCGGCTGTTGTCGGCTGTAGTTTGCTTCCAGCTCACGCTGTGTGGCGCCACCATGCTGTTGTACCAACATCCTATCGTCTATGTTTGACACATCCCAGGTAGCGTGCTAGGTGTTTAGCTATAATAATATAACTTTCGTCTGCATATCCATTTATCATGTGGATCATCCCCGTGCGAATAATCCCAGCACGTATTTTGCTAAACGTTTTTATTGTTGATAGATGAATAGTCAGCAAAAGGTTCTGCTCTGGCAGACTGATATCTATATTTGTCTCTATATATATATAGTATATATATACATTATATATATAAAAACAAATTGGCTGAAAATATATTATTTTGGTAGTAGCCAACTCTAACGATCAGTAGAAAATCTTGGCAGACGTTGTTTGGTTATTATTAATGTGCATTTGTACCAACCGTATAGAACATGTATATAAACCTTCGCTTTATTTTGACTGCTCTAGTACGAGAATCGTTTAGCGCGCATTCTCACAAATGCTATGTACGCTGTGTGGCCGCGTTGGCGCGTGTGAATACGACGTATAAATAAATACTCAGCAAATATTTAGCGTGGAGTCTGTACATGTGATTGATGGCTTTCTGTAAGTCTATGTAATGGGTACTGTTAGCGAGTGCTTCCTAATGGTATTTGAGGTAGCATAACCATACAAAACTCATTGACAAATCCGTCTTATATTTTACACTAGGGCCTGTATAAATGGTTGGTATTTGAGGTAGCATAACCATACAAAACTCATTGACAAATCCGTCTTATATTTTACACTAGGGCCTGTATAAATGGTTGGTATTTGAGGTAGCAACCATACAAAACTCATTGGAACAACATCCGTCTTATATTTTTACACTAGTGACTGTATAAATGGTTCGGTATTAACCATACAAAACTCATTGACATATCCGTCTTATATTTTACACTAGGGACTGTATAAATGGTTGGTATTTGAGGTAGCATAACCATACAAAACTCATTGACATATCCGTCTTATATTTTACACTAGGGACTGTATAAATGGTTGGTATTTGAGGTAGCATAACCATACAAAATTCACTGATATATCCGTCTTCTATATTACACGAGTGACTGTATAAAGGGCTGAATTCACTATAGTAAGACCATGTAGCACCGTAAGACCATGTAGCACCGAAAGACCATGTAAAATAAAATGGACTGATCAGAAGGGAATGCTGGTTCCTTTTTTCATGCCTGCATTATAAAAGCCTGGCCATATAGCTCAGGTCAATTGCAATTTGATGTTTGTACTCTCATCTCGACCATAATTAAATGAAGCCATAGAACATAAGCCTCACAAAACATTTATTTATATCCAAAAATTGAGCAAGTTATTAATTTATAGTCTGAAACTCTATCACCACTCACAGATAGCCACTATAATTAATTCTGCATACATAAGAAAATCCTCCATTCTTTGTGCCCTAAAACAGCAGATCATTAAATGTTCATTTAATGCATATTGAAACCAATGATAGCTAGAGTACGTTCATGTACTAGTGTCTGCTCAGAGAGTCGGTTACTCCTCACGGGAGAAGAAAAAGAAGCACCTACTCATATATCAATACTCGTATATTGCGACTTGCCCACAAGCCCTCTGATTAGTTACTGAATGTCAATAATTTAGAATACAATCTGCATCGAAAAGTAAATCCTCAGTTACCCTCCTTACTCCGTACTCCTTACCTCAGAGATGCATAGCTGATTTGGTGTTCAACAGTTTCTTTAGGGACTACAATGACCAGGAATTATACAGGCTGTAAAAGTTCATGTTTTTTATATATTTTGGTTAAGAAATTGTGGCTCTATTTAATTTGTCACAGTTCACAGAATTGAGCATAACAGGAATGGTACGTGACACATGTGTCGCGTTCAATAGCCCAGTTATTATGATTGAATTTGTGTACAATGATACTACCCTTTACCAAATTACCCATGTGCTCACGGTCAGTATGTATAATTATGATTACAGATTTAGCACACCGTAAGGGAGATATTCCGAGCTATGACCGGGATATTGACTATGGATGGGATGTTCCACCAAAGCCTTATGTTGGTAAGCTGAAATAGCTACACATATTAGAGGTATATATTTGTCATATGTAATGATATATGGTCATTGCTATCTTTACAATTTCAGTTGCAGGTTCAGAGAAAGGTGTTCACTCTTTACGCATGTTCAATGTTGACTGCGTCACTGTTATGTTAATGAAAATTACGTGGTAGTTTCTAAAATAATCGTAAATGGTTATGCCCCAATAGGTTTTGATTCCACAATCTCTCATCTTCTCCTTGCATGCGTATTACAGAGGGACCACCAATGTTCAGAGGCCCGGATGAAAACATGTACGTGGCTGAGCACCAGGAGGCCCAGCTAGGGATGTTTGTATATGGGTGGCCAAGACCAGAGGTTGAATGGTATGTGAAAACTACATGAAATTAACTTTTTTACCAGTTTTGTTTTTCGTTCCCATGTTTGCTACTATATTGTCATGCGCCATATGATTTAAAATGAAACCATTTTTTCTGCAATTTAGTGGAGAATTTATTTGCGTGCTTACATTGCTGTTCACTAGTATTATTATTCAGTTTTCATGGTTATATAGTTTTTTTCGTTATAATGACTGTCATAATAAAAAACAACACTAGTGAAATGAATTTATTTGAGTTTATTTGAATGAATTTAATTTTTTTTTTATATAATCATGGTGTCATACCTGCATAGCTATAACTTCGATAAAATTGTGCTGTTTGTTCGCTAACGAGTGTGCCAACTGCCATATCCAGGTTCTTTAACGGACAACCCCTGCAGATGGGTGATAAGCACAAGATGCACTGGGAGAGTGCGACCTCACGGCAGGTGCTGACCGTGAACGACGTGCTGTTAGAGGACATCGGAACCTACATGATCGTCGCGTCGAACGAGTACGGGAAGTGCGCGCGCAACATTGTCGTGGAACTCGCAGGTAAGCGGCAAGGGTGAATAATGACGCGTTTTTTTGTCATTATTCATTGTCATTGTCATTTTTCATTGTCATTGTGCAATTTTTCATTGTCATTGTCATTTTTCATTGTCATTGTGCAATTTTTGTCATTTGTCGTTCTGGCATTGTCACATGGCACTCTAATTTGTCACTATTCAACTCCGGTAAGCGGTGAGGGGAGACAGTTCTTTTTGATGCCAATTTGGAGAATTGTTCACTGAGTGAGAAGGTTAATTATTCAAGAAGTGGATCAAATATAACGTGGATTCGTGCATGAAAATTTAAGCAGATTCCTTCATATAGGCAATGCAAGGATGGTATATATCGCTACCCGTAAAATCTGTGATTATGTACCGATTATACGGAAATTATGGTACCACATTTTTGCTTCATTTCTATACTGTTAGCTCTCTCATTCTTTGCTCGATTGGGCTGCATTAACTACAGTCATATGATGAGTGAAATGTTCACTTACAGAGCCGCCATGCTTCATCGAACCGCTGAAAGATAAGAGCATCATTGAGAGATGGGGAGGCAGGATGGACTGCCGGGTTGATGGCATACCGTACCCCGAGATCAAGTGGTTCAAGGACTGGCACCCGATAACGAACTCGGAGAGGATTGAGATTACAGAGGTGCCGCCGGACAATCATGGCCTGACCATCCGCCACGCTATCATGCGTGATGAGGGCATGTACACGTGTGTGGCAAAGAACATTGCTGGAGAGGTTCATACCCACTGCAGTCTAACTGTTGAACGTGAGTGTCTTTATATCTCACGGAAGATTTTTTTTATAGATTTTTTTCATCTATATTTTAAAATCTCGTCATAATGACATTCAATGTGTCTTGTCTTTTTTGTATTGTTTTGCAGTGTAACTGTTGAACGTGAGTTTGCCAAAGTGTAATCGGTTGGATGTTTCTGTGTTACTGAATTCACTTGATGCTACTGAATATTACTGAAGATTTTATATTCTAAATTCTAAAGTCTCGTCATAATGACATTCAATATGTCTTGTTTTTTATCGCACGCAGCGATTTGTGTTTACGTGATTCATTATAAATGTTGTGGTTTTATCTTTAATAGCCGAGCCACTGGACTATCTGGGTCTGGACATTGAGTTAGCCAACAAGAAGGTCGCACCTAAAAAACACAAGTGCAATGACTTCTATGATACTGTCGGTGACCTTGGATGGTTAGTACACAACTATACTTGCATGATTTCCCTTGCCTTTTGCATAATAATACGTTCGTATGTATGCATGTGTATGCCTGTGTGCATACATGCATGTGTATGCCTGTGTGCATACATACATGTGTATGCCTGTATGTATGTACATACCCGAGTGTGTAGAGAAGTAAAATCGGCCTTATTGTTTGAATGTAATAAGATGCACTTTGTTTGTTCACTGAGAGAGAGAGAGAAAGGGAGAAAGAGCGCGCAACATGGACGAGCACTAGTTTGCTCTCCAATGCTTGATCCTTATACCACCTATTCTAGGATATTAATTTCATCTAGTCGGTGTGTACGTACGATTTCATCGTTTGTGTTTCATCGTTTGTGTTTCATCATAGTCGTGGTTGTCGTTCCAGCGGCGACTTTTCCGAAGTGAAGAAAGTCGTGGAGAGAACGTCGGGTCGCGAGTTTGCGGCCAAGTTCTACGACACGCCCGATGAGAACAAGGAGAATGCCAAGCATGAGATCGAGGTTCTAGGTCACCTTCACCACGGCAACATACCAACGCTGCACGACGCATTCGAGTCACAGAACGCTGTAGTCATGGTGCAAGAACTGTATCCCTTTTCACTGGAGAATGTCCACTGTTCATTTAGAGTCGAGTGATGAAGATGTTTTTAAGTGCCGATGATGGAAATCTTATCGGCAGTTTTTTTTTGGAAATTTTCTTTAGATGTTTCTATATTTTGTCTACAAGCATGCCTTGGTCTAGGTTAAGAGTAAGTATTGCGAAATACTTGTGTTGATAGTCAGGGGGTTTTCTGATGTGTGTCATTAGTGAAAATGCTATTGTATCAAAATCTATTTTACTGGAACAAATTCATTTGGAGAAAAAATAAAACGAAGATGTGGAATTATTTCGTGTGTTCCTTGACCGTGGCTGTAGTTGTGATGGTGGTAACGTGTTTGACCGTCTGGCGGACAAGCCCAGCTACACGGAGAACGAAGTGGCCCTGTACCTGAAGCAGTTGCTGGATGCGGTGAAATACATGCACAGCAAGCACTACGTACACCTCGACCTGAAGGTGAGAGTGCGTCACTATGCTAGGAATAATCTCACTGACATGTTTATCTAAAAACACATAGAATTCTTACCATTAATTAGTGGAAATACATGCACAGCAACCACTATGTACGTGCATCTCGACTTAAAGGTGAGAGTATGTTATGATGCTAGGAATATTCTCACTGACATATATTTCCAAAAACACAGAATTCACAGAATGCAGAATTCTTACAATTAATTAGTGGAAATACCCCTGTCAAGCAGGAACTGTTTGGATAATTCATTATAGCAACTAACAAGTGCCACTATGTCAAAAATCTATCTACTAATTATATTGGTGTCGTGTTACCATTATTGTTTGTATTGTGTATTAGTTCGTTGATAATAGTTCGTGAAATTAACTTGCATCGATTGTGACACAGAACTGCCGTAAAAATTATTCACACAGATGCGTATATGAGCTGTACTCCTTTATTTGCAGCCTGAGAACTTGATGTTCCACCATGCTGATTCACCAGAACTAAAGTTGATAGACTTTGGCAATGCTCGCCAACTAAAACCCGGAGAGAAAGTAGAGGTGGACCGCTTCAACCCAGAGTTTGTCGCCCCAGAGATACTAACTGGGCGCAACATTGGGACTGGGGCTGACATGTGGAGCATAGGAACCATTGCGTATGCCATGTGAGTTTGAAAGTTCTAGAATTTTCACTACAGAATGCTTTTCACTACGCTCTGTCTTGGAATGTTCGTAAAGAACATAAAAAATTATATTTTAAATTGGTTGACTGCTGTAATTATCATATTAGATATGATTCGCAATGATAGCAATGATTTGCATTTAAAAGAATGCGTTTTCTTCCTACAATTTGAAAATATTGCTATTAGTATTACATTGAGCGGCTATCAAAGTTGTCGATATCGTGTGAGATATTTGTACATGTGTAATTAATGTACAGGTTGACTGGACTGTCACCATTCCTGGGAGATTGCGACAGAGACACAATCAACAATGTCAAACATGCTGACTGGGACTTTGACCCTCAGGCTTTCAGGGACGTGTCAGACAAAGCTAAGGACTTCATCAACCGTTTGCTTGTTGATGCTCCAGAGTGAGAATATTTTTATTTGTATTGAATCTTCACGTTCTCTATCATAGTTAGCAAGGAGAATGTTTTTATATATGTAATATTGATATACGTCTATGTGCTATGCCCTCAACGTCACTACGTCATGCATGTATTCCTGAGAAGTGTGATATATAATGAAATCAAGAATAAGCAAACAATAAGCACAAGGCCATGACAATAGTTATGGCTTACTTCTGATATATTTGTATAATTTTCTTGGTACATTTTGGTGGCAAAGTCTAGAATGTTGTTGTTGTTTCCACTCACAGACTGCGTATGACAGCGAAGGATGCAGCTGAACATCCCTTCATTAGGGTAAATATAATTGCACAATCGCAACAGCAGCAAATTAAACCTCGTGAATGTATGGTACGTCCCCAGAAAAGCATATATATTGGAAAAATCGACTAGGGAGGCTAAGTTTATCTCTGTATACTATCTTTCTTTTAATGTCATCTCATCAGGCATGTATAATATAGATTATAATCTATAATCTATAAATTCATTATCTATAATCTTGTGATCTATATCTTTAGATATAGATTATTCATCTATATTGTACACTCCTGATCTCATCACATTGTGGCATCTATGTTTGTGAATACACAGGGTCTAAAGAGTCCAGACAGAGGGGAGAAGTTGGATGCTGAGCAGCTTAGAAACTTCCAGAACAGGAGGAAGGACTTGGTAAGCACCATCTACACATCTGTAGCTGCACGACGATGGCATCAGAAATAGCATTAATAGTAATAATAATTATTAGTATCATCGCCCGAGTGATTATAGGAAATCCTGCGCGCTGATTGGTCGAGACCTAGGTGATTATTTTTCGATAATCACCTCTAGGGTTTACATTGTAGTGGCGCCAAAAATGGCGGCTAGATTTGTAAATGTTACGGAAGCCGAAATTGACAAATTTAAAGAAAATGCTGTCCCCAAAAGTACCAAATATCGGGCAATGATACTAAAACAATTATTCGCCGTTTGTCTCGGGGATTATTCAACAAGATTCGCCTCGCCTTTGGCGAATAATTGTTAAATATACACTTGATGATGTTGTCTTACTAACCATAGATAAGGATTCTATACAAGTATTGTAGTAGTCATGATCAGGTGGTGGGAGGCGTCTGCCACATATCCCCTTCTGCTGCTCAAATGCATTTTCACTCTTTACCATTGCACAAAGTTAAATTAATACCATAAAAAGTTAATAAAGTTAATGTCATTCAAGAAATACAGATTACAACAATAATAATAACAATAATAATGATAATAATAATAACCACAATCATAATAATAATGGTTATATGTTATGCTTATAATTATTATAATAATATTGATGCATATCTGTAATTATAATTATAATAATAATCATGAGGATCTGTGTGTAGGTGGACAAGACGTGTGTGAGGGTAGAGCCGGGTCACTGGGACCTGGATCAGAAGCTGAGTGAGAATGCCGGCTACATGCTGAAGCACTTCCCCTGGTCTACGGCGTACACGCACGGCCCCGACACGACGCTCGTGCAGCTGAAGGACCCGCAGTACACGAGCCGACTGCGTGGATACCTGGAGGACACCATGTGGAGCTGGAGGTGAATGATGATGAATGATGAACTGATGAACTGAACCGAACTGAACTGAACTGATGGCCTGATGAACTGATGGCCTGATGAACTGATGAACTGAACTGAACTGAACTGATGGCCTGATGAACTGATGGCCTGATGAACTGATGAACTGATGAACTGATGAACTGATGGCCTGATGAACTGATGAACTGAACTGAACTGAACTGAACTGAACTGAACTGATGGCCTGATGGCCTGATGAACTGATAAACTGAACCGAACTGAACTGAACTGATGGCCTGATGAACTGAACTGAACTGAACTGATGAACTGAACTGAACTGAACTGATGGCCTGATGAACTGATGACTGGGAATGATGACCGGGGAATTTCTAAATAACTATAGTCACACGACAATAAATAAACAACAAATATGCATCTGCTTAGTCTTCTCCATCATGGGAAGGAATGAATGGGGGTGCTGATCAAGACAGGTTTGTGGGTAACACTGATTCTGGTGTGTGGGCACATGTATGTACCTAGAAAGTACTTATACATATAGAAGACGACTATAGTACTCTTTAGAGATAGAAATACTTATAGGAGAAGGTACATATAGAAGACTATAGAACTCCTGGAGATAGAACTTCTTACAAGAGAAGGTACTTATAGAAGAAGACTATAGAACTCCTTAGAGATAGAACTTCTGAGTGGGTAGGGAAGGTACTTGTGGAAGGGATGCGCAGTTCGCTAACCCAGAACTAGACTACTAGAAAGAACTAACCCACTACTAGAACTAGACTATACTATTACCTTATAGTATCGCTAACCCGTGCTTTTTGCGTGAATCGCAGGTGGCACTCGAAGGGCCTGTACAGCGAGAAGGCGCGTCCGTCCGTGCACGAGCGCCGCCGCATCCTCGACATTCAGGACGAGGCGGAGGACGACCGCGGCGTGTCGACGCGCGTGCAGATCTCCAACCTCGCGATGCGGCGGCGGCTGCACGGCGAGGGACACGCGCCCGTCTTCCGCGAGAAGCTGCACGACACGTCGTTCCGCGCGAACGTCGCCGTGACGCTCAAGTGTGTCGTCGTCGGCAACCCGCTGCCAAACGTGTCGTGGTGAGTGAGTGAGTGAGACGAGGGTGGTGTATGTAGTAGGTGACATATATATAGTAGTTGACATATATATAGTAGTTGACATATATATATATATATATATACATAGTAGGTGATATATATATAGAGGGTGGACGTGTAGTTGGTGCATAGTTCTGTGTAGTCTCCCTCGCTCAGCATTGCATGTTGTGGAGAAGCAGAGTGTAGACAGAAGTAAGAATGTATATAAGTGTAGGAAGATAGTGTAGTGCTAGGGCTTCATGTTGGTATGGCTCATTCGGTTTCATATCTATCTGTTTTCTTACCGGTTAATATTCCTCTTCATATCATTTGTTTGTGGTACTAATTCCCTGGAGAATACATGTTTATGGAATTAATCTTCTGGACTATCTCTGTTTATGGCAATGTCCCTTTGGGCAATGTCCTTTTCTGGCAATATCCCCCTGAACAATATTCGTTATGGCAATATACCCTGGGCAATTACTATTTGTAACAATATCATCTCTGGCATTGTCTACGTATGGCAATATTTCTTTGGTCAATAGACCCCCTCCCCCTTGACATTATGTTTCTAATTCATGGATGGATGGACGGATAGATATATAGGACTGACAGACACGAACATTAGTCATCATTGTCAGCGATGTTACTACAGATGTGTGAAAAGGGATTTGATTCAGATACATATGTTACATCTTAAGTATATCTTGTCTGTCAGAATAATAGGTTCATACTGTTTCTTTTCTCACACATCAGGTACCGTAATGACGAAAGGCTGTCGATGGGTGGACAAGACTTAGACATAAATCTGACAATAGATGGCGTTGCTACTCTCCTGATGCCTCATCCAACACAGTTCGCAGCTGGAGTTTACAAGGTTGTTGCTCGCAACAGCTTTGGCGAATCCACGTGCTGGGCCAGGCTGAGACTAGGAGGTAGGCAGAATTCTTCCACTAGATAGAGCTTGATGAATATGTCTTTGATTGTATTTTCTTATATATATATTGAATATATTTTTGATGAATATATGATATATTGAAGCTATGAAGAAATCTGCTGCCCTTCAGTAACGCTGATAGGGTCTATGTCTCCCTGGGTACTGCCGGAACGTACCCTGGTAACTATCTAATATGCCGGACCGTACCTCGCCTACTCCCTAACCCTAACCCTAACCCTAACCCTAACCCTAACCCTAACCATATCAGATAGTTACCAGGGTACGTACTCAGGGTACGTTCCGGCAGTACCCAGGGAGACATAGACCTTATCAGCTTCAGTAACCACGATAATAATGTAATTGATTACATTATCCTTTTCATGTGCCGCGTAATTATTTACTAACACATATCGTAGACTATAATCACCGTATCAGCATTGCACATCTTCTAAGTCTATAACGCACTTCATATGCAGTGAAAAACACGTGAGCCAATAAGATTTCGGTGGAAAGTTTGAATGCCGGATTTGAAGTCACCATGTAAAAACTATGGGTGCACCGGATCCAACTTTTTAAGTTCCGGCCGGAACTAGAACCAGCTGGAACTTGAAAAAAGTTCCGGCCGGAACTACCTGGCCGGAACCGGAACTTAAGCTGGGAATAAACTTGACAGTTTTAATTGGCCCCGTATTGCGCAAACTCACTCGGCCTGAACGAAATATTATTAGCAGGCACATCACTCTGGCGAGTAAGACAATGCTCATTGTTCTACATGTTCTCATTATGTCTCATGTTCTCATTGTGTCACATGTTCTCATGTTCTCATGTTCTCATGTTCTCATGTCTCATGTTCTCATGTCTCATGTTCTCATGTTCTCATGTCTCATGTTCTCATTATATACATGTTCTCATTGTCTACATGTTCACATTCTACATTCTTCTCATTGTTCTCAAAGCTACAAAGTTCTAATTACAGGATGGTTGTTAGGTGTATGAATCATCTTCTTACAGTGCATAATTCTGGCATCTTATTCGCGAGCGAATTGTGTGGCAAAACCTGCATGTTGCAGTATCCCTGGTAGTATGGTTTTAGTCGATTATTTTCAACTAACAAACAGATGCCATTCCTGTGGCTCTAAGAGTATTTTATTTTAAAAGAAAATCTCGTGAATCACCTAACATCAGTTAGGTTCAGTTCAGTTAGTTAGCCGATGTTCAAGTGGCAAACGTTTTCTGGGCAGAATAGTGTGAAGTTGTTAACACTATATTGTCAGCAAGTTGACTCTATTGACGCTCAACTACATTCAGTGACTGATCTTTTGATCTTGATGACGCTTGTAGCAGAAATGAAATTAGGAAAAAGTTCTGGTTCCGGCCGACTGTTCCTGAAGGGTTCCGGCCGGAACCGGAACTTTGACAAATTGGGGATCCAAGTTCCGGTGCACCCCTAGTAAAAACACAACAATAGCGTAAACACACAAAAACACGTACCAAGTTTACACGCTTCTATATGTATACTATGGTTAACCACATTCCATGCTTTTACATTGGTGTACCTCAAGTGTAAGCGATTTATAGATTGCGTGATTGTGTAATTACAGAGACACCAGATATGCCATCTAGGCCACAAGTGGTGCAGATTGCACCTAACGAAGCTTTCCTCGAGTGGGATGCACCGAAATTCGATGGAAACTCGGATATACAAACATACAGAGTGGACTATAGGAAACCTCGTATGTAACTTAGTTGTCTTCTCTTCAGTTACCCCTGACAATGGGGACTGTACATTTTCGTAATGATCATCGCTATTTGTGTGTTATATCTGCAGTGATAATGCACGGGTATGTTCTTTCTGTATAATTAGAATTATGTTCAATAGTAAATGTATAATAGTATTAATTATTTTAATATTCCATGATTTTCTTAAATATAGTTAACTTGTTTGTGTTGCTATCAAGTTCGTTGTTGATAGAGCACGAATTTTAACCATACTGTACCTGAATTGTAACCATATTGTACCTGAATTTTAACCATACTGTACCTGTATTTTTATCGTATTATTATGTCAGATATTACTGCAGGTGAGGAGAGATGGACGATGGCATCGGATACGGTAGAGGAAGAGTTCACAGTGGTGACCGGCCTTATTCCGAACACACCCTACAGGTTCCGCTCTTGTGCCAAGAACCAGTTTGGTTACGGTCCCTACAGCTTCTCCTCTATAGAAATGAGAACTCCAATGCCAGGTTCGTCAGATCATAGCATTGCTTACCATCACTCATATGCACTTATGAACACGTATGCAAACGTACACACTAACATTCACTTGCACACGGGCATGCACTCACGTGCACACACGCGCGCGTGCGCGAGCGCGCACACACACACACACACACACACACACACACACACACGTGCCGATACACTGCACAGCTTCACTATCTTTGCTTTTACTGTTGTGTATATGAATGATAATTTAAGACACTATACTGTATAGGTAAACTCATGCTAGAGCACCAATGGCATCATTTCAATACCCTTCTAGAGGCACAGAATGCAACTAACGTGAACCATTCTCTGTCTGTAGGTGAGCCAAAGCTGAAAATAGAGAGGTCTAAGGCTCATCTGATTAAGGAAGCCATGCACAGGAAGAGCTTGAGTGGCATGACGACGGTCGCCTACGACACGGAGTTCACTCCTGTGCCGCTGCAGGAGGCTGACCCAGAGAACAACTACGTGTTCAGAGAAAACATCTTCGTGTACGTCAATTTTTCTCCACATCGTGATGTGTGAAAAATCAAAAAATGGCTCAATTCTATGAGAAAAAGTTAGACGTAAAGACTAGTGTTAAGACTGGGTTTGTTTCTGGCAATGAGCTCTCGTAAATGCCATCCTCAGACGCCGATTATTCTTCAGCGCGTGAAGCAAAGCCAATGCATAGTCAACGTAACAAGTTGCATGAACAATAATTATTGAAATAATATTTAACAATATTAAAATATATTATCCATTAATATCATATATTAGTCTTATTATATATCAATTATTTTCAATTGATATTCATCGTCTTCGTAAGCATAGTAAACGAGAGTAGTTTGTGCGATCAGCAGAATGCCATTGCCCATCGCTACGGCGACCCCGCTAACCCGTCCTCGCCGTCTCTCCACCAGGGGCCGCTTCTGCGCCGTGCACAAGTGCATCGACAGCCGCGACCAGACGCATCGCGCCGCGAAGATCTTCCCGTACACGGCGGGGACGCGCGCGATCGTGCTGCGGGAGTTCGAAGCGATGCGGAGGCTGAGCCACGGCAACGTCGTGCGGCTTCACGAGGCGTTCCTCACCGACGACTACGCCGTGCTCGTGCTCGACAAGCTCGAGGGCGGAGAGCTGCTCAAGTGTTTATGCTGGCACGACGAGTACACGGAGGAGCTTGTCGCGAAGATCGTCAGACAGGTCAGACTCGTCTCTCTTTGGTTTTTTATTTCGGCTACTGCTGATCTGGTTAATCCTGTCGAAGAAACGTCGTCAGATAGGTGAGCGGGATGCCTCGTCTTTTTTCTTCCTTTTTATTTCGTTTGCCTCTGCCGATCCTGTCGTGGGAACATCATCAGCAAAATGATAACGAAGTGAATTATTAAGCTGTATAAGGAACGTGTCGTGCACCAGCCATCAGTCCAAGTTTGGCTATACAACTGATATATGAAAGCAGTGAATTATTAAGCTATACGCGGGACATGTCGTGCTTCAGCCTGACATGTGCAGCTTCTATCCTCTCTTCATTTTTTATTTTATTATGTGGGGATCCTGTGGACACCTGATAGGTTAGCGGGATGCCTCGCCTCTTCTTCCTTTTTATTTCATTCTTTTTATTTTATTTAACTGGCTTCTGTTGCAGCTGCTGGACGCTCTGCAGTACCTGCAGTACCACGGCATCGTGCACCTCGACCTGCAGCCAGACAACATCATGATGGTTAGCAGACGTCTCCACACCATCAAGCTTGCCGACTTTGGATCGGCGCGCACCCTGAGGGAACCGACCCTCGGTGACGAGGATATCGATAGTGACTGCCCGCTGGAGTTCATGGGTATGTCGTGTGAAGCCAACTGTGGCGACTGTTGTATACGAGTTAGAATTCGGGGGGGGGGCCGTTGTCAGAAGTAAAACATCGTAAAGTTATACATTCCTGCTGTAACGATATCTTGTAGTAATGGATGAGTATACATATTGAATTTCCTCCCTCATGTTTCAGTATAGCATTCAGCTTTGGGATTGATCCTAGACTTAGCTTGATCTATTACTCATATTCAGGAGTATGAATTGATATATACTTTCTTCTTTTTATTATAAGAGAAAATTAAGCCGTCTATTATAAGAGCCGTCTATTATATTTTATTATAAGAGAAAATTAAATGCATCTGTAAGACTTTTTAACGTGTAAATATCGCTGTGTATTTTCGTCTTCCAGCGCCAGAAGTAGCAAACTATGAGGCAGTCAGTTTGCAGGCAGATGTGTGGGGAGTTGGCGTGCTGGCATTTATAATGTGAGTTGAACTCTAGTTGTTCTATTCATTACTACATCAGTTTTATGCAAATTTCACGCATATGTTAGCACACCAAACAAATATTGTATGTTATTGTTATGTTGCTGACTGTCTAGACATAAAATGTGTAAATAGTAGACTCTAATAGTAAACTGACTAAATGTAGACATAGACTGTCTAAACAGAAAATTGCATTAAGTTTATGCTAAGCTACTTGTGCATTCTTCACAGGCTGAGTGGTGTGTCGCCGTTCCTCGGTGAGGATGACAGAGAGACGATGGACAACATCTCATTCGTACGCTACGACTACAGAGATTTTTACAGGAACGTCACACAGGAAGCCTTCCGATTTGTGCAGCAGCTGCTGAGAAGGAATCCAATGTAAGTGACACGTGACATTACGATAACAGGACGGCGAGCTCCTACCAATTCTGTAATGAAATGCCGTTATATTTATTAAAAATAGTTATTAGAATTGTAACCCATATATGTTATTACAATAATTATTTTGCATCGGGAACGTGCAGCGTCTTTCCGCATGATTTATGGTTAGTGACGAAGTAATGATAATTAGGAGAAGCATTTGCCAGGTGTTACCGATGTTCTATCTTGCTTTTAAAAAATAGGAAGCGCTTAACAGTAGAAGAGTGCTTGGAACATCGCTGGATGCAGGTGACAGATGTCATGACCAGACAACGCGAGTCCACCTCCTTTTTCACTAATAAGGTAGGCGTCAAATTGCAGTCCATAGGTAGAGTAGACATATTATACAAATGGAAGACAGTCGGGCCATCATCTTTAGTGTACAGTAACAGAGGCAATGTTATTGTGGAATGACCGAGAATAATGCCTTGTTCGTGGATGAGAAATCTCTCTCTCTCTCTCTCTATACATATATATATATATATATATTTATTTATTTATTTATATATATATACATTTCAAGCTTCAAATTAAGTCAATTAAGTTTGCATTAGTTGCCAAACTAATTGTTTGTTTGCACAATTTTCAGCTGCGAATCTTTGCACAAGAGTACAACCTTTGTCGCAAAGAGTCTGCTACAAGAAATTATGACCTTCTACATGCCTTTGGCTCACTCACACGTGCCTCCAGTGTAGATAGTGTCATGTCTGGCTTCGATTAATGTCTGTAAAAAGGTAGGTGACACAATGATGGCATAAAATATGCTTTTCGTTTATTCTACATTTTTTTCGTAGTCTTTGCTGTTAGCAAGTGGCCATATAAGAATAACTATTGAATTGCCAGCTTTATTGTCATGGGAAATTTTGAATTCACCGCATATTATGGATTAGTTTATTTTGTTTACCAGTTATAAGTAGTAAGCAGTAAAATATTAGTAAAAACGTATCCCTTTCACGATTCATTGACAGTGTGGTTTTAACGTAGTCTGGCAAAGCCCTACGTTACGTATACGTGTAATGGTCACGTTGTATTTAGCTCTGCATGGATGTCTTTCAGGTTGTCGGATGACCTCGATGAGATGTACATTGTTGTGTAAAGCCTCAAGGACAAGAGCCGCCGCTGCTCGTGAACCAGTCGATCGGGATACCAGTCGTTTTGTCGCTAGTTTAGTCACATCTGCTGTTGTATTTTTACGCTAGAATTCTGTTAATTAGAATAGGCATGGCTAGTCTTCACTAGGTATCTGCTAGGACATCTTGCGTTGTTCCGGAATGATGTCGCAGGTTTTTGATGGTATCATTCATTCAAGGGTACAACTGGGCAGATCCCTCACAGATAGTGATAGTGCTACCCTGAAATGCTATCGACTTGAAAATAGCTGAAGTTTTTAAAGCGTAAAACAAAAAGTATTTCTGAATAATCCAGTAAAATTCGCTTGCAGGCTTTGTAGCGTTTGCGTATTTGTGCTATTGGGTTTATAGACAGTGTGTGTTGCTTTAACTGTGGTCTAGGTCTAGTACTGCATTCTCTCGGACTGTAATTGTAATTTCTGATGAGAAGACTATGGCCCAGTGTCGCTGTTCAACAGGACTGCTGAAAATTGCGAATCTAGTCTATCGGCCCCAACACCTTTTTGGTGAACGCAGTGGCAGTATATTCACCTCACGTTTGTAGCAGCACGCTAGTAGAAAGCTAGAGGAAACCACATATACTGTGACTATAGGCGTTTTGTGTTGTCTCCTACATGTGTTTAAACCTGCTAGCCAGGATTTAGGGTGATTGTAATTTCTGATTGTGATTGACCGATTTTGTTAGTGGGCTATAGCAGGCTGCTTTGTTGCTTGCGAAAATGTGAGCATCTCCCTCGCGTTTTCTGCTGTGCCGTTTGCATTTTCCCTGTTTCAAGACACGTACATGCCAGCAGCGATTTGAAAGGAGTAAAAACTTGCAGCTAGAAGAAAACTCGATGAGCGGAAACTAGTCGTGCAGCCAGATGCTGTGTATTTTTCCCGTTTTTTACAAAGGATTGTAGAACTGCTGTCTGAAAACGCCGACGTGACAATTTTTTGAAAAAAAGATCGTTTGGAACGGTGCAAAAAAACTGTGCCAAAGCATATCTTAATTATTAAGAAGTCAGCTATGCTTATCGTGTAGTATTTGCTAGTCATTTTACACAAATTATGGACTTTGTTTTCTGCTACATATTGAGTTTATTGCAGCAGTGATAATTTATTGAATTCTCGATCAAATGTACCCAGAGCTAACTGCGAATATGGCAATGCACCTACATCTCTATAGTATACCGAATAGTTTACTTCAATTTTATTTATTGCTTGTAAATTTATAACACCGCGTATTTATAATACTATATACACTGTCGCAGCAAGTGGTTTTTATTAGCGATCTGTTGCCCTAATTCATCATATGGAAATGAAATCAGTGTGTTTAGTAGCGTATATAGAACTGATCACATTCTGCAGCTGGTGGCGACGGGATATATCGCTGCTGGGGCGCCAAGATAGAAAGACTGTTCTGCAAAGATGCCCCGAAACAGTCGTCTTGGTTTGCAGCTGATGATGCTGCCGAAGTGGAAAGTTGTATATGGATGTGGTTATAAAACTCGATGCATTTAAAAACTGGAGCAGGTATTTTGCCATATTTGTCAGTGATTTTTAATAGCCATTATATTTTGCTTGCATCTTATTTGCAATGGATTCTGCTGTGGTTGTGAATGTAGAGTTGAAAACAAAAATAAAACTGTATTTCTATGTAACCCCTCCCATATTTTCTTACCTTTGTTTTCCACCTGTGAAACAATACACACGACATCGTCAAGTTGTGTATTTTCGTGCCGTTTTAGATTTGTAAACCCAATTTTTGAAAACATTAACATACCTAGTACTAATTTACGCAATACCTCGGCTGCTAAAAATGACGCCGCAATATAAAAACTCTGGTGTCTATCAATATAGATGTATTTTTTACCAAAAAAGTGCATTTACGAGTCTACGAGGACGACACTTAAAGTGATTACGTCACCGTAAATAGTAAAAAAAAAATCCATTTTTTCACAAAATATAAGTAATTTTGTTCACTTTTTATGGTTAAATTGCTGCATTATACTTCTTATTTTACTATATTGTTCGATGTGAACATACACTCGTGACGCATACATAGCCCATAGAAAGCAATTAATGTCAGGAACACTAATATCAAATCGTCCAGGTTTTTAACTAGTTGAGAAACAATCTTATCAGGTAAGAATTTGACGATACGTTTAGTCCCGTTAGTTCTTACTTTTAATGTAAAAAAAATGGCAACAAACATTTTACAAATTTTACCATAGAAAATTCGTGACGTAGTCAATTTAAAGATTGATAACCATGTAATTGAGAGTATAATGATCACGTACTTTTATTACAAATAAGTAAACAATATATATATATATACAGGATTACAAATACAGAACATGTGCGTGTTTGTACGTGTAGTCGAAAGACGGTGGATGGAAGGTAGCTCTTCATTCTTGTCTCATTTTACAATCTGCATCTCTCTTCTCGTCGCTGTGTACGAGTCTGTATCTTATAGTGCTTCTACGGATATACACTTACAAAGAAAGGCAAAAATAAGTTGGTGGTAAAATAAAGCTCTGTTGGTTCATTGGTTTTATTGCAGTTATTAAAGAAGACAGCGCGTTTGTATCGGTTATAGTAAAATAACCATGTAAATTTAAGTTAACGTAGATTATTATAAACCATGTCCTAAATGCGCATGCTACTGCGCATGCTCGTGGACTAGAGAGACAGAGAAAGAGAGTGTTGTGTGTGTGTGTGTGTGTGTGTGTGTGTGTGTGTGTGTGTGTGTGTGTGTGCGTATGTGTGTGCGTACGTGCGTGCGTGCATGCATACGTGCATGTGTGCGTGCGTGCGTGAAGAGAAATATTGTGTGAGAGAGAGAGGCGCGCGCGCGCGGCGAGCGCGCGCGCGCGTGTGTGTGGTGTGTGTGTGGTGTGTGTGTGTGTGTGTGTGTGTGTGTGTGTGTGCTGTGTGTGAGGGGGTGAGGGTCACAGAGAGAGAGAGGTTGGAGCGAGAAGGCAAGAGAAGTAACTATATTAGAAGAAATATGTGCATCCATGCCTGTATGTGTGCCGTTTGTGCCGTACGTGTGTTTGTCTGCGCGTGTGTACTGCGCATGCGTGTGCACATCTCCGTTTGAATCATTTCCTCCCTCCGTCCCTCTCTCCTTTCCTCCTCTTTCCTTCCTCGCTCCCCTCGGTATTTCTCTCCCCTCTCAGCGATAGTATCGACCACAGGCATCAGGTACACGCTGAAAAGTTAGCCATCGCAAATGACTGGTTTTCAACCTCAACGTTCCCGCCCCCCAAAGCACAAATGTGGATATACGGCTATAATACGCGTTTTTTTAAAGTCACACAAGCCACACATACATACACGCGACGGGCGCGCGGCACGTGCGGGTATGGTTGCACGCACGCGTGCGCGTGTATAATAGGCGTAAATTCAAATTTTGTGCCTCGGAGGGGTGAAAATTTCGGTCTGAAAATACGGCCATTTACCTGCAAACGTTTTTCCATGCTTGACTGGTCCGTGGCGATACCATCCGCGAGAGGGGAATAAGGAAGTGATGTACGTAATGACATATTCATCTACGTTTAAACGACGTTCATCTACGTGTATGTGTTTGTTAGTACAGTGGTTAAGACGATATACTGCTATCCTATGAAACCAGGGTTTCGAATCCCACGTCGTTATTTGCTTTTGTTATATAACTTGTGTAAAGGTAAACGTATTAAAAGTAAAAACCTGTATAAGAAGCGTCGTTTTTTTATATTGGCCACCCAATTAATTATTTCGTAAAGGGGGGTCGATTCCCACACTCGCAACCATAGTACTTTACCTTTACTGCGAAACAACAACGCGATTTGGAAAAAGGAATATTGTGACGCAGCTTTCAAATACTTCAAAAACATGTCATATAACCATCCTAAATTTTAGATAACGTAGATTTATTATAATCCATATCATGAACGCGCATGCTCACTCCGCATGCTCGTGGACATACGTAATTACAAAGCTTATAAACTCAATATTATAAATAGACGTACACGTAAAACGCGAGATTGCACGATTTCAAGTACATTTGACATAGATAATATGATAACAGTTAACTAATGAGAGCACAAATTAAGACGTACATAGTATTATAGTAGGGAGACCGGGGACAATGTGTAACACTTTTTTTTTCCAAATCTGACATAACATACTTTATTATAGTTAATACTTACTTCAAGGTATATGAAATTAAAGATGCATATCTTGGCTTGAAATAATGACTAGGTTTGGGTTAGGTAAAACAAGCTTATTTTCGAAGCCATTATCATTTCAAAACACTGGAAGTCAGAGTGTTACAATTGCCCACAAACACGGGGGCAATTGTAAAACACACTAAATGGGGCAATTGTAACACATACAATTGACGCAACAAAATCAGTATCGCTTCAGAAAAGTTTTTATATTTTTTTTTATAAAGGTGACGACGTTGGACAGAATTTTCAACAATTTAAACATCAATTTATAGAACCACAATAACCCTTGAATAATTTTTAATAGAAAACTAATTGACAAAATGCTTGACCTCATTTACATATGAATAAAAATATATAAATAGGCGTACTTAAATTGCCTTAATGAACAAGACAATATTTAGCAGACGCCATTAATTCAAAGTTATGTAGTTCTCATGTCTGAGCTATAAGATAGGCTACTGTTTGCACTTGTAACAAAACACATTTTGTAAAACAATAATGTATGTTATAGCATGCAAGAATGGCAATTGTAACAACGTTGTTACATTTGCCCTGAGGAGACGGCATAATTTGGGGGCTGTTTTTGATTATTAGCCATTGTATTCGCAATGAAAGCTTTTAGCCAAATACAGGCCTAAAAACATTATTTTTTATGATATACAAATGATAGGTCCCGATAGCTCAAGTACATATTTGTCCAGAAAGAAAAACAATTAGGTAGTTCGAGATTTAAACTTACGGCTGCAAAAAAAACAGATGTTTGGCTGTCAAATGTTCGCCAGCGATGGCGTAAGCCTGCCTGACCTCTAGACAACATGTGGGGCAATGAAAATGTGCATGCGTGTGAAGAAGCGTATACATATAGCACGTTTTCTACTGAGGAATGAGGCCTGCTGTTTACAAGTTTGCCCCGTGTTACAGATTGTCCCCGGTCTCCCCCTACTGTAAAAACGCTAATGGAGCGTAATTAATGGACGTTCTCCATATTATACAGTAATGAAAACTCAGTATACGGCTACCAGACAATGAGGAAAATCAGAATGGAAATATCGAATGAAATACTGTAGGAGCAACGGAGACTATATCCTGTATCCCATGCGGCACCGAAGAACTCGTACGCATTATTCTGAAGACACTAACCAAAATTGCATGTATCCATATATATATATATATATATCCACATATCAACCTATCCACGCATCCATCCATCTGTCTTATTCGCTACCTATCTATCCATTCATCTAATGTTCCATCTTCAGTAACTCTATCCATCTATCCATAATATCCTATCGTATCGCATAGTACATCTAATCTATCGATCTTATACTCCATGTATCCCATCATCCATGTATCCATCTATCCATGAATCCATCTATCCATGTATCCTCTATCCAGTATCCTCATCTCAATCCATGATCCTCATCCCATCTACCATAAATATCACTCTAGACTTTCTACCGCATCTATCCATACCACCTAGGCTAGCTATCCATCCATCCATTCATCCATGCCATCCACCCATTCCAATCCACCATCCATCCATCCATCCATCGCCATCCTCTCCATCTCCATCCATCATATGCATCGCTCCATCCATCCTCATCCCCATTCAATGGCCATTTCCATCCATCATCATCCATCCATCCATCCATCCGTTCATCCATCCATCCATCCATCCATCCATCCATCCATCCATCCATCCATCCATCCATCTACCTAACTGCTTATCCGTCAATCTACGTTTCTAAGCACAGCTTACATTACCGGATTATAGCTTGTTACTACCAACCCCTACCAACACGTACACTAACAATTTAATTAATTAGCTATTAGTTAATGACATTAATTAAATGACAGCAAAATAAATAAATATTATGAACCTTACATCATTCTAAGGAGAATACCTATGTTGTGTTGAAAACACGCTCATGGCGTTTAATGAACGTAGTCGTCGGTCATACGTAAATATTTCACCATGTCGGAGAGCTGTCTACAAGGAAACGTTCCACTTAACACGCTGTCTATTCAGTAAGAATAGCATTTTCCAAACACGAGCCAGCTTCAGGTGTGTATATGTAACTTTGCTGCTCCTTGGTACGTGGCTGGGCCGCTAGGGCCGATAACCACTCAATCGTTGCATGAAACCCTTTTGCCGTATAGATTCCCCGTCTCCGTTGCACATTCATCAGTTTACGAGACGATTGGCACTGGAAAAAATTACCACTCTACTGTAATTATGATATGCGTTATTATTATTATATATAATTTTAAGTACATTAGTAAAGCGTGAATAAACATTTTGATCATTATTCCCCTTCAATAAATCGCGGTTAATAGTAATTGTTAGCTACTGCATTAACGTTCGAAGTCGCCACAAAACCATTTTTTAATTCCTTTACATGTCTAGGCCTATTGCGACTGAATATGAATAGCTATATATTAATACTGCCCGTAGA